GTGATGTAGCATATTAATTAATGGATCAATAATATGAAACTAAATGTTAAATTAAAGAGCTTAAGAAGTGCTAAAGCAAGAACCTAATCAAGCTTGACTCATTATGAAAGCTCACTAATAAATAAAGAATTAATTTATAGTTTTAATATTTAAGTTTTAAATAAAGAATTAATTAGAATGTTTGACTTTTTTAGCGAACATGTATGGTTTAACCATTTAATGGACATAAGATGAAATAATAAAGTGATTGGCGCAATGCTTCATTAATGATCACCTAGTTATCGACCCAAAATTTTGCTCTTATTTTTGTGGTCTCCGAAAATTCGCGCCCTGGTCTCCCCTCTTTCGAGAGAGTTTTAACGAATTAAGTTTCAATGTAAATTTTTAGAAAGCATATTATTGGATTTTAGATAAGACATTATCCAGAGATTTCGCCCTCATTTTGTGAGAACTTTATAATCTGAGTTCTTGTTTCCTATAGGAACAAGCCCCTATAGTTAATTACCCCTCTAGCTCGATAATGAGAGAGAGCTTTCAATTAAGGCTAGTCATAAGATAGGTACTAAGTACCCATAAAATAGAAATAACTTTAATTAGGATTTGACTTTGATATTGAAATTTAGAGTTTATGATGTAAAATTTGTCAGCATATACTTAAAACTAGTGATGGGAGGAATAAAGATGAGCCCGATCAAGATCTCATGGTTTTATCATCCCAGACTATCATGGTCCCTGATTTACTTAGTCAGAGGAGGTAGTCGACCCAACTTGACAGAATGAACTTTATCACCAGCCATGGGTTGCTTCATTCAAGAATACCTTGTAGACCTGGGGTGATATTTTTTTAATGATATAGATTTGAATCCACCTTAGCTGATAAAAGACTTTATTCCTATTGAGTATACCCTATGATTCATTACTAAATTGTTTGACGTCATTATGGAACATATTGGCTTTGGTTGTAATCGTAATATAATGGTGACATTTTATGGCAAAATCATCTGATCAAAGGGCATGTGTCACGTCCCTTCTAGTAAGAGACTATTAGAGGATGAATCTTAATGATACACCCAACATTACATTCGCTCTTTGTAAGCTGTGGTTAAGTTCAAATTTATCACCCACGACAAATGATTGTGGGAGGTGGATGGGTATTTTTTTTTAATAGATTATATTTTATGTATATAGACTTTTATTAGATTTGAGATTTGACTCCTCAGGTTGATATTTACATTCAATACGGACATCAACGAGGTGATATTATTTATTTTTGTAAGAATTTGAAATGCATTTTATGATTCAATTCAGGTCGACTCCAATCCTTTCATGGAGAATGATGAAACTTGAATATTTAACCCATACAACATTCTCATACACTGGCATTTACAAATTTATTGTATTTGTCGGAGCACATGCGGGTTATGTTTAATTTGAAAATAGAATGTTATATTAGTAAGCATTTGACCCTGCGTAGCATTCTCAGACATTTGTTTTTGTAACTTTAACATGTTTGTTGCAGCACGTGCAAATTATGTTTTAATATATAGACTGGAGTTATTATAAAGATATAGTATTATGTCTGCTTGTACGAGTGTTGCGGATTCGGTGGATTAAATTATCGATGAATTTTCGTTTAGAAAATATGTATTTTGGCATTTCAAATAATTTTGTCTTCTTCATGATCATTCATGCTTCTATTATTTCCATGGTCCAATAATTTTATACTTTCCTTAATCTCATTTTGCCAGCATCTCTTCACGCATGTCATTTTCAATAACTTTTATGTTATTTAACACTAGAATTATGTGGGCATTACTAATTATGACTAGCCTATGTGTTATTAGAACTATTATCCTGTCAATAAATTTTATATCAATCACTTTAATTCGTAGTCTAGAGGAAATATTCAGAAGTCTAACAGTTCTAGCAATATATCAACATCAAGCTCTAATAGCTCAAGACAACATAGACCAAAAGAAAACAATTCCATAAGTTTGAATACTTGTGATAACCTGAGCCCCTTAAAATAACTTTGAAATATTAAAACAGGACAATGTTGCTGAAAAAGAATACCAAAACTATAGAATCTAAACTTGTTTTCTTCATGTCCTTGTGTGTTATGTGGCATATGAATCTACTAGCCTCGCTGAAGTAATTAAATAATACATATGACGTGAATCTCCATTATATATTTTAATCATGAAATGGAAATCATCACATATAGGGGTGTCAATATTTGACACGACACGAAAACTCGACCCGGAAAATCGGGGTTGAACCCAACCCGATTTCAAAACGGGTCGGGTTCAGGTTCCAGAAATTGCCCCGTTTAAAAAGACGGGTCGGGTTCGGGTTGACCCGACAGGTTGCCGGGTCAACCCGCGAACCCGTTTAATTCAAAAAAAACCCGGGTCAGTTCCGAGTTCGACCCGAACCCGACCCGTGACCCGAAATTGACACCCCTAATCACATAGGTCTTTTTTTATTAAAGGATTAATTTTATTGTTATTTATATTATTATATTTATTTTAAATCTTTTAAAATAACAATTTGATTGTGTGAGGGTCCCCTTTTGTTCAATTTTAGTTTTATCAAGCTCCCGACATCCCCTCCTAGCGAAGAGAGGTTGGGAGGTACTTGCCTTTGATTCTTCTTGTGTGAATCTAAATATATGATGGCATGAGGTTGTCAAATCAAATTCATCTAGCTCGGATCTAAGATATAATGTCGTGGGGGCTTCAAATTACAAAATCTTCCCGCCCGGAACTAAAACAAATGGCGCGAGAGCTTCAAATTTAAAACCATCCACCCAAATCAAATATCGTGACGCGGGTCTTCGATTTGAATCACGTGAATTAATAGAGGATAACATCAAATCATAATATTTAAAGGAAAGCTAGTTCAGCCCATCATCCTATACAAGTCAGTTAGTCTTTAATCAATGTCATGAGTAAAACCAGCCTTGACGTATCCTCATCACACATGCTACAATCACATTATTAATACAATAATATCAACTAGATATTACTCAATCACATGTTCATATTCATTTACAACGTTTATATTAACTATATGTCTATATTAAAATATCAAAAAAAAATTAATGAGCAAATCGTTCAAAACACAATAACTTTCCATTTTACCCAATGAAATTATAAAATTGTCCAATCAAATATTTAAAATAATCAGTACTATAACATATAAAAAATTGTGTAGTAGAAATTCACTAAATCTAAAAAAAATATAATAAATTTAATTTAAAAGAAATCAAATAGTCAAAATCAAAATATTTGAAAATAGAGATATGATTAGAATCTTGACCTCAATCTTTTTATATGAGTAAGCACCGTAACACTATCACCCAGTGTTGCAGCACTGCATGCTGAATCCAGATTTACTATAGAACAAAGGCTTCAATGCGGCGGTGACGATTTCTAGCGCCGCGACGCTCTAGTTCAAACATAAATTCAAATGTTCATTTTAAATTTATTTTTAAAAATTGGGTTGTTACATATTAAATTACTAATTAACGCATACATATTCCTTAAGAAAAGCCAAACATTCTATATACTAAATTTGAAATTTAAAGATTAAAACACTAAAATAATTCTCTCTTCATGAATGAACTCTTATAATGGGCTTTGGTTGGGCTTTTACTTTAGTATGCTCTTGGGCTTTTGTCTAGACTTTTATAATTGAACATTTATCTTCATCCTTTTCTTCTTCTTTTCACTCAGCCTAAGTCATATACTCCTTAAATTTGATATTTTTTGCATTTTTCTGTCACAAGTCCTCCATATTCTTTTAAGTATTCTTAGCAAAAAGAAATTTAAAGGTACTCAGATGCAAACACATGGTGAATGTAGCTCTAGTCATGTTCATGTTCTCATAGGTATACCCTTATTTAAATGGTGGTGGTAAACGCATAGAGACTCCCCTTCCTTCTATCGATTATAAAACTAAATTTCATAGTCATTAGCCAAACTTTTTATCAATATAAAGTTAGAAAGAAGAGACATTTGAAAGAAATCTGTATATTTTTAAATGAAATTTAAGAGAATCACTAAATAGATTTTCAAAGATATATAAGAGCAATTTTGTTTGCAATCTGAGAGATTCTTAGAGAATTCAAGATAACTTTTGCCAGAAATGAGAGAGAGAGAGAGAGCAGTCAGAAAAAGAAATCACTCTCATCAAAATGAAACTAGTTGCATCTTCTAGAAGTGAGAAGCAAAAAAAAAAAAAAACTGCTCAACCATAGGAAGAATGAAAGGAGAGAAGTACTAATCAAAAGCTCTTGGGCATTAGGAGGTCATTTCTATGTTGTTTTTTATTATCAGTGCATATGAGTTCTACTTTCATGGAGTTAAATGCAAAGCTTCCCCTCAGGTATCTAACATTTGAGCTCAAAAGGGTTACAAAATGGCTCCCAAACATATCTGACGCTCATGATAGATTCATAATATCCTCCTAGAGCTTGAAGTTCATCGGAGATCCCAACAAACCCTAGCAATTTTTTGATAAAATTTTCTTTAAGTACCCATAGAGACTATCATAAATCCACATGCCAGCGAAGTCGATGATTCGGATATAAGTTCATAGTCAGATTTGATGTGATTGAATAGCGATTCTAAAGAAACCTAGTTGAGTTCATTCTAGTAATCTTCGCTTGAGTTTGAATAGGGCTAATTTACTAAACATTCAGTTCAAATCCATGCTAAATTCTAAAAAGGAGCGGCAATGTAAACAAACAATAATCACTGAAAATTGCATAAACTAAAACTTAAACAAATCTCAAAAAGAGCAAATTTAGGCTTGCAAAAATTTTCTAAACAATTTAGGCTTCATTTGGGACGGTTATCTTACTGCTTCTTAAAGCAGCTTTTTAGATAAAAAATTAAAAAATTACTTTAGAAAACAGTAAGAAATCCATCACAAACGAAGCCTTAGCCTGCAATAAAAGAGAAAATTTTATCAAGATATCCAAAAATGCATTAGAATTAACTTCAAAATTTTCGAATTTAAATGAGATTAATACAATTCAATATATCATACGCAGTATTAATATCAACACAAATTTATTGAAAAAAAAAATTAAGCTTTTTCGAATACATTTTGTATCAGTATATCCCACCATAATTTTTCACAATAAAAGATCAGGGAGGACAGAAGGTCAGATTCTAACAATCCATCTAGCATTCACAGCCTGATGATCTCTGCTGTTGTCCGCCGGAAACATCAATGGTGTCCGGGAGATACCTTCATCAAACACGAGGGATGCAATGTCAATAATACTAATTTTATTAGGAAACCCATATAAGCATTTCGTATCAAGAATGATAAAGAAAATTTGTATAAGAAGCTGCTTCTTTATCGATGTATAACTCCATAAAACATAGCATAGCCACATGAAGACAAGCTGGCTTTTAGATATACAACATGCTCAAGCACATTTCTAGCCGTGTTAACAGAAAATTATGAATTAAATAAGAACAAAATATAACCATTCTTCATTTGAGGAGCTTTAGGCTTCGTTTGGTTATTAGGTACTTTTGTAAAAGACAGTTTTAATAAACAATGGTTCAAAAAAAAGAGTTTTCTAACGGAGAAAGTACATATAAAAAGCTTTCTCAAAACAGTAGAAAAATAAAAAAATGGTGTTATTGAGAACATAGTTTGAGGAAATAAATAGTAAAAAAGAAATAACTTTACCGTTTTAAAAAGGAATACGCACAAAAAACGCCCAATCAAACTAGGCCTTAATGATGTTAAAAGGGATTTTCGATCATAATTTTGTATATTGATCCCAGGGATGATCATTCTTAATCTTTTATTTAGAACCGTAGATTTTCTAATGTTCAAGAGAGACTTTCTTTACTTTCATAGTTTAGTGGAGTTTCTACAAATACTAAGCAAGCCATATAATGACTTCACATAATTTTATTTCATTTTTAGCATGAATTTGGGCATTGAACTCTTAGGCTTCGTTTGCGACAGCTTTTTTGCTGTTTTTTAAAATTATTTTCTAGTACAATAATTTCTTGAATTAGAAATTTTTGTACTAAAAAATAGTTTTATAAAATAGCAAAAAAGTTGTCCCAAACAAAACCTTAATTTCCAACATCCAAATGAGGATATTTCACACATGTCCCTTACATAATGTTTGTTCATCTTCAAAAAGAATCTTATACAAGTGTTAAAATGAAGAAGGCAAGAAAAGGTGAGAGGGCTCAAAATTACTCACATTTCATCCTCAGGTTCATTTTTTAGAGCATTTTTAGCGATACACTGGAAAGCAGCTTCCACATTTATTCCCTCCTTAGCTGATGTTTCAAAATAGGGAATATTACCCTTTGAGGCACACCATGCCCTTGCCTTCTTCTCAGAAACCTGTAAATCCCTAAGTATGAGTTAAGTTCAAAGAATTGGGACTCCTGGAAAGCTCAAATAGAATAGAAAGTGAATCGTCATACCACTCGGCTGTTGCCACCATCAATATCTATCTTGTTTCCAATAACCACAAATGGGAAGTTATCCGGATCAGATGGGCTAGCCTGAAGTGAGAGTTCTACAATTTTTCATGCAAAGATATTGTACCTTGAAATTTTCTAAGGGAAAAATGTGAAGAACAGATTTTACCTGAATTAAAAACTCTTCCCTCCAATTGTTCAGGTTGTCAAATGACTTCATGACATTAACATCATAAACAAGAACACAGCAATCTGCACCACGGTAGAAAGCCACGCCCAGGCTCTGAAACCTCTCCTGCCCCGCTGTATCCCATATCTGACAAATGAAATATACGTAAAAAATATATATAGACTGAAGAGTAAAAACGTATGATAACTGAAAAATAAAATTGACAATAATTTTCAAAATTCAAAAATTAAGAAAAATTTAAAAATTTTAATGCCCTAGAGAGTGACATTCCTATGGGTAAATCGATTATTAGTACAAAGATCCACACATTATTCAAGAGGTGTGCCATGCTATAGGAAAAAATATTTCAATACCATGAGAATCTTTTCAGGATGCACCAGCTAATTACGGTATTTAGCAATGCAATGACTTGAGATTACATATAGATCAAGGATACACCTATCAGTTGTTATGTGTGGAATATGATTGTGTTGATCAATCTGGTGATTATGTTGTTTTCGGACCTCAAAATTTGTGTACCTGGAGGGTGCGGGGGGGGTTTACCCCCTGCTTGGGTTCAGGTGGTGCTTTGCACCATAAAATATTTTTTTGTACAGCACCCTGGCGCTGCTTACCAAAGCAACCCAGCGCTGAACGACAGAGAGCAGAGCACTACAGCGGTCAAGATATGGCACCGCAGTGGGTCAAGACAGAGACTAAGCACTGCAACGCTAAGTGTTTGAGCGCTGCAGCATTGTCAAATAGAGACTGGGCGTTGCAACGCCCCAAACTACCGTCGTAGTGCTGCAAGACAGACTGAACAATTATTTTTCTCATTTTTCTCAAGGGTTGTGTCCCACGGGGGTTTCCAGTAAAGGACGTCATCTTCTTACTCTTTGTGTCACAACTTTCATCGTTGGACTACTCCCGTAAAGGACGTCATCTTCTTACTCTATGTCAACACTCAACATTAACTCTTGCCCTCTTTACATTGTCATCGCTTATAGTTTCGGTGATGGTGATATTCTCCCTTAGAGCAGCTCTGATCCCATTTTCCCTTAATTGTGCATGATACTTTGCTTAACGATCATCATGGTCCACTCCAAGGTTGCATGCACTAATGGAGGTCTTGTAATTTGGTTCCGCTCTACTTTATCCCGTCTTACAATCTCTTTCAGGTTCCTAGTATCACGGTTCTTCTACACTACGAATGATGCCCATACCATAGTAATAAGAATTATATTTACTTTAGTGCTTTTTAGTTATGTTCATTATCTACACTTCATTATCTGCTCTAGGAAGGTTGTCATAAACTGATGATTATTGTTTTTATTATGTGGTTGCTTAAATTTAGTTCCATTTGTTGTCATGGCTAGAAAAATGTTTTTTGTGGAACATAAAAAGCATTTTGATGAGCAATTAACTTTGATCCGTGTTAATGATTTTGAATCCAACAAAAGGAAGTCAGTTGAAAAACAAAACAACAAAAAAAATCAATGACAGCTTATAATGATGGGTGATTATAAATCAATTTGGTTGTAGAAGCTTGCATTAAAGATTGATGTTAAAGAACTTAATTGCATTCAATATAGTTATTCTTCATTTGGAACCTTTAGAGATGTGTTTGCTTCTTTAGCATGTTGTGAGTTCTATGGCTATTTTTGACCTATAAGCACGCCATATGAACAAGTTCATTGACTTGAGCCTCTTGGCATATCAAACTCAACATGTTGTAGGCTTCTTAAGTTTTGTGCTTCTTACGTGTTTTATCTGCTTATAACAAAATTATGTTTATGCAAGTTGATGTAATTGAATTAGTGATGTAATTAATGTTGGAATATGAACACACATCTATGTAATACTTGCTGAGCATTTATGATGTTATTTTATAAAATGGTATATCTTTGGCATTTTTATTGAACTGTCTATCGTGAAAATTTTATACTTCATGGGGATGTGCTGAAATGTTTTTTATTTCATTTAAGTAAAATTTTATCATCATTAGGTTTATTATAAGAATTAAGCTCACCTAATAGTAAATAAACTCATATTTATGCAATATTTGAACACCACAATGAATTAAGAAAATGAGTTAAGGCACAAATACAACTATATAATTTTCTCAACATACGCCATTACAGCAGATCAGCAGCTTAACTTTTTCTACAGTCAAATATCTTAATCAAGCTTAAAGTTTAAGCACATTATTACCTTGATTAGCTTAACTTTAGCCATAATCATACAGACCCTAGCAATAAAAGTAGAGCCAAAGCCATAGTTTTAGAAAAATCACCAAGAGGTGAACTGTTAGTTGAGATTTATAGTTTTTCTCATATTCACTTTTCAAATACATTCTTTGACTAGTATAAATTAAAGCACATTTGTATAGCACATAGTAGATGCTTACACCTGCAAAAACAATGCAAGCTTATAGATATGCATCAATGCACACAAACATGGCTTCAATTAAGCATAAACATTTCACATGCAAGAACCAGCTTGTTTGTAAATACATTTAACAAATTATTGCACTAAGATAAGGCGCCATAATTCAAGATTCAAGTAGGACATGAAAATATCAATTTGATGTCAATCTAAATAAAATTTGGATTGAGCTTGCGAGGCAAATAAGAGATCCTTAAGTGAAAAACGTTCAAGTTTGATACAAAAACTTCATATTAAAATATATAAAGAAATTTCCAAACTTATTTTCAAGAAAATAAAAAAACCTAAGACCTAAATAGAGATCACAAATTCACAATGCCAACAATGAATGATGTATCATGGCACAAGGGCTTGTTGGATGCATACTGCAGAACACATGGCACAGTGCACTTCTTTTTAAAAAATGATGTCAAAAACACATAATAATGAACATAATAATAATAATAATTAAGAGCTAAGCAAGTAAGACATAAGAATAAGATGCACTCCAACACAATTAGAGTAAATGATACTCATAAGTAATCAACGAATAAGTTCCAAAAATTATAAATGATGTGTAGTATACATTAAAGCACATTTGTATAAGCACATCTTCGATGCGTACACTTGCAAAAACAATGCAAGCTTATCGATATGCATCAACGCACACAAACATGGCTTCAATTAAGCATAAACATTTCACATGCAAGAACCAGCTTGTTTGTAAATACATTTAACAAATTATTGCACTAAGATAAGGCGCCATAATTCAAGATTCAAGTAGGACATGAAAATATCAATTTGATGTCAATCTAAATATAATTTGGATTGAGCTTGCAAGGCAAATAAGAGATCCTAAATAGAAAAAGGTTCAAGCTTGATACAAAAACTTCATATTAAAATATATAAAGAAATTTCCAAACTTATTTTCAAGAAAATCAAAAACCCTCTCTCCTTGAGATTCCCGCCGGCCCTCTCCCCTCCTTTCCCATCGTATCAAATGACAAGTACTCTCTTTCAACACCACGTTTTTCCTCTCTTCGTGTGGAAGATTCTCCGACGCCAAGCATGCATGGCGGAATCCGAATGGAACTTTGGATTTGTGCATGACGATCGAGGTCAAGTCGACATCCACCAATCGCCGTTCTTTGATGTGGGCTTTGATTTCGACGACACCGTTGAAGACTACTTGAATCGCATCCTCCCCACGCTCGTAGACGTCATAGACGAGCAATTCGACGTGGACCGTCAACGGCTATTCGTCCGTGTCTCCTCCACCACCGTCGACCTTTCCGTGACTCAAGACCATCGGCGTTGCAACCTTCCTCGTGGCATCGTTTGGTGTGCTGAAGATCTTCTCCCGCTAAGCCTAGTGTAGTTGAGTGATCAATCCCCAAGGTGAAACTCTCGTTATTAAATTACGGATTGTTGATTAATAGCTTTTGGTATTGCTACTATCCTTGGTTATCCATGAGTTTTTGGTTAATCTACTTGTACTCCTTCGCCTAAGCAAGTTAATAACTAAGAACCTTTAATGATTTTACTTGTTATCTCACTAAGCTCTTAATTGTAATTCCATTGTCAATCACTTTTAATTTTCTTGAGAAGCTCCTTCGCATGTGGTATCACATCAGGTTTCTATACTAACACTGTTATTTTCTGCTATATAGCCACAATACTTTCAATTATCCCGCAAATACAAATTCATAAATACTTTATATCAAATGCTTGATCCATCACCATGTCAATTATATGAGCTAAAAAGCATAAATCATGGGACTGGCTGGTTCCGCTACTGCTGAACCAGAAAAGAAACTATAATTCATATCTACTCAAAGTCTCAGACCACCCTCATCATATCAACTAGCCTTGTCCCAACAATTTGGGGTGGTCAGCTTTATCAATCTTCCTCCATTCAATCATGTTGAGTCCCATATGAGATGTTAAACCTTTTTTTTTTTTTCAATGTTCATAGCCTTGCTTTTGGCCTTCATATTTCTCTTCGTAATTTTTAGATCTTTTGTTCAAATTACTTTTAACTTTCTTTTTATTATGTTCTCTTAAATAAATGCTACTCTTAATGCCTCTCCAATATAATTCTTCTCTTTATCAATCCTAATAATTTTACCGCACCATCTTAAAATTCTCGTTATTAATATATTTAACTTAGCTATCAACTATTTTTTAATGCCCAGCACTCCCTTCAACATAAAATAGGTCTAATTAAACCTCTAAAAAATTAATCTCCATGATACTTTCTTATCACATGGTACTCCTAAAATATCTCATTTTAACCATTCATCTCTATATGTTTATCAGTTTAGAATGGTAGATTCAAGCAAGCTTAAATCCTTAAGTCAGCCAAACAGCCAAGCATGCCATCTAAACCTTCTTCAAATTAAGCCTCATTATAGAAGCTAATGACTTAAGTGCTTGTAAAGTCAAGTGATGTTCTCAACCAGCATATGTCATGCAACACTATTCCATTTATTTCTCCCTTGATTAAAGCATGCCTCCCCTATCCAGCATCTATCCTCTCCTTTGTCCACAACTTTCATCGTTGGACTACTTCACCAGTAAAGGACGTCATCTTCTTACTCTTTGTGTCACAACTTTCATCATTAGACTACTTCTCCCTAAAGGAAGTCATCTTCTTACTCTTTGTGTCAATCGTTAACTCTTGCCCACTTTACATTGTCATCGCTTATCGTTTCGGTGATGGTGATATTCTCCCTTAGAGCAGCTCTGATTCCTTTTTCCCTTAATTGTGCATGATACTTTGCCTTACGATCATCATGGTCCACTCCAAGGTTGCATACACTAATGGAGGTGTTGTAGTTTGGTTCCACTCTACTTTATCCCATTTTACAATCTCTTTCAGATTCCTAGTATCACGGTTCTTCTACACTACGAATGATGCCCATACCAAAGTAATAAGAATTATATTTACTTGAGTGTTTTTTAGTTATATTCATTATCTACCCTTCATTATCTGCTCTAGGAAGGTTGTCATAAACCGATGATTATTGTTTTTGTTCTGTGATTGCTTCAGTTTAGTTCCATTTGTTGACAAGACTAGAAAAATGTTTTCTGTGGAAAATAAAAAGCATTTTGATGAGCAATTAACTTTGAACCATGTTAATGATTTTGAATCCAACAAAAAGAAGTCAATTGGAAAACAAAACAAAAAAAAATCAATGACAGCCTATAATGATGGGTGATTATAAATCAATTTGGTTGTAGAAGCTTGCATTAAAGATTGATGTTGAAGAACTTAATTGCATTCAATATAGTTGTTCTTCATTTGTAACCTTTAGAGATGTGTTTGCTTCTTTGGCATGTTGTGCATGTGAGTTCTCTGGCTATTTTTGTCCTATAAGCACACCATGTGAACAAGTTCATTGACTTGATCCTCTTGGCATATCAAACTCAACATGTTGTAGGCTTCTTAAGTTTTGTGCTTCTTACGTGTTTTGTCTGCTTATAACAAAATTATGTTTATGCAAGTTGATGTAATTGAATTAGTGATGTAATTAATGTTGGAATATGAACACGCATTTATGTAATACTTGTTGAGCATTTATGATGTTATTTCATAAAATGATTTATCTTTGGCATGTTATTGAACTGTCTATTGTGAAAATTTTATATTTCATGGGGAGATGTGCTGAGTTTTTTTTTTATTTCATTTAAGTAAAATTGTATCATCATTAGGTTTATTATAATAATTAAGCTCACCTAATAGTAAATAAACTCATATTTATGCCATATTTGAACACGACAATGAATTAAGAAAATGAGTTTAGGCTCAAATACAACTATAAAATTTTCTCAACATATGCCATTACAGCAGATCAGCGGCTTGCCTTTTTCTACAGTCAAATGTCTTAATCACGCTTAAAGTTAAAGCACATTATTACCTTGATTAGCTTAACTTTAGCCATAACCATACAGACCCTAGCAATAAAAGTAGAGCCAAAGCCATAGTTTTAGACTATGATGCACCGACACTTCTCCTCAAAGAGGCATGCAGTGTCTGACAAGCGTCCGACACGACACGCGTTAGTCACTCCTCTAACACATTTCGAACACGCCGAAAACATGTCTGATTAAAAAAATATTAAATATAAATTGAACACGCTTGTCCGAGAATTTTTTTAAAATATGATTTCTTGTATTTAAAATTTTTACTTTTTTAAAATATAAAAATTAAATTTCTTATTTCCTATCCACAACACCAATTCAATACCCGCACTTATTACTCATTCATCAAATATTCTCATTTTCACTTCTCTTTGGCAGTGAGGATATTTTTATCTCCTCTCTCGATGACTGATAAACGGTATCGACGCCCGACTCTCGACATCCTAATACTAATCATTTTAAGCACAAATTCTAGTTAAATGATTTTTTATTTCTAAAATATTTTTAAAATTATACTTATTTAATTTTTATGCACTATTTATAAAATATAAAAACTATGATATTGTGTCTAACCCGTGTCCGTGTCCTATATTTTTAATAAATAATGTGTCCCGTGTCCGTGTCGTATCCGTGTCACCGTGTTCGTTTCTGTGCATCATAGGTTTTAGAAAAATCACCAAGAGGTGAACTGTTAGTTGAGATTTATAGTTTTTCTCATATTCACTTTTCAAATGCATTCTTTGACTAGTATACATTAAAGTCATTGGTATAGCACATAGTAGATGCGTACACCTGCAAAAACAATGCAAGCTTACAGATATGCATCAATGCACACAAACATGGCTTCAATTAAGCATAAACATTTCACATGCAAGAACCAGCTTGTTTGTTAATACATTTAACAAATTATTGCACTAAGATAAGGCACCATAATTCAAGATTCAAGTAGGACATGAAAATATCAATTTGATGTCAATCTAAATAAAATTTGGATTAAGCTTGCAAGGCAAATAAGAGATCCTAAAGTGAAAAAGGTTCAAGTTTGATACAAAAACTTCATATTAAAATATATAAAGAAATTTCCAAACTTATTTTCAAGAAAATCAAAAACCCTAAGACCTAAATAGAGATCACAATGTCAACAATGAATGATGTATCATGGTACAAGGGCTTGTTGGATGCATACTGCAGAACACATGGCACAGTGCACTTCTTTTTAAAAAATGATGTCAAAAACACATAATAATGAACATAATAATAATAATTAAGAGCTAAGTAAGTAAGACATAAGAATAAGATGCACTTCATCCAACACAATTAGAGTAAATGGTACTCATAAGTAATCAACGAATAAGTTCTAAAAATAATAAATGATGTGTGCTTCATCCAAAATAGAGAAATACAAAATCACAATTTTACAAAGATGTAGGCTAAACTAGAGATGTTCTCCTCAATCCTCATCATCATCTTCATCGTTATCATCATCACAAGCAAAATGAACATCATCATCACCATCTTCATCTACAAGATAATCTTCCTCATCAACTTCATCTTCTTCATCAAATAATGTATTGGGCTTAGGAAAAGTTCGTACACATTTCTTTAATTTCTTTTGTCCTTCCATTGAAAGAATTTCAAATATCATCTCTATTTTCATAAGCACCACTAGCTTTAGCCAAATCCCCTACAATAGATCCTCAAGAAACACAAACTAATTATCATTAAAAGCCTCATCATTAAATTTCTTAGTCAACATTCAATGGCGATACCATCTAGGTAAACTAATAACTCCTTTCATGATTTGTTCTAATTAAATAATAATAAATATTAAACATCACAATTAAAACTCTAATTAATCCCTAATTAACCTAAATAACTTATTAATCACATATCAGTCTGAATAATTTAGGTCAAACCAAGTCTTTTTAGGTCTACCTCTACTATTCTTAACATAAGTCAAATCTAATACATCTACTTTCCTAACCGGGTAATTGGAAGGCCGCCATTTTATAAGACCAAACCATCTGACGCGACTCTCTCTAATCTTATCTTCGACTGGAGCTACTCCAACCTTTCACTTATATTTCAAAATGAAAAATAAAAATAGAGAGGACCAAAATGGTCCCATGAATCTTTATGAAAGACCAAAATAATCTCGAGCCATATTAAATGACCATTTTGATCCCTCAAATCATTAAATAAGAACCAAAATAGTCTCATAGTATGAGTATTCTCAGGAATTGAGTGATCAAAATGATCCTTTAAATATATAATTGGGGACTATTTTGGTATTTCATAAAAATCAAGGGACAATTTTGACCATTTTCCCAACAAAAGCATGAATGTCAAACATGCTTTTATAATTTTTAAGTAATTGCATTGGGGAAAAAACAAAAACATAAAAGATAAATAAATCCAAATATGAACAAAGTGAAAACAGAATCTAAGAGGTCTATGCATGCAGGCATGCATGCGTAGGTGTGTGTATATTTCAAATAATACAACACGCCCCAAAGAATCTAACCTAGATCGGTACCCTTAACCCAAAATATCAAACCCACTATTTTCTTCCCATGTGGTAAGTTATGTGTTTATCTTTATGAAATAACTCTTGAATTAAATTCTTCTTATGTTATAAAATGATATGACATTTTTTTATGAGAACATCACAAAGAACAATAAATAGTGTCGGCCATAGCAAATAGCAACCAGATAAAACACTTCTTCCCCGTAATCAAGAAACTTATTATAAGAGAGAATAAGGAAATGGTGAATTTCTAACAATTAAAGAAAGTACAAGAAGTAGAAAAACAAATTACAACCACTCAACTAAATCATCAAAATGAGTTTGCTAATGATAGTGAAGGAATTCCATAGAGACATTAAGGAAAAAAATTGGCCATACTGGCTAAATAAGAGCTACATGATCACTAACTATCTCGACATGATTTTGAATTCCAAGAGTAGAGCAAACTGAAAAGATAAATAACTATAATCCTATAGAATGCAACTTCTTCAATTTTGTGAAAAGGACATCGCATCTTAATTGAACACCTTTGTCCTAGCTCAATGGAAGAAATAATACAAGTTTCTACAGCCAAGCCAATACAAAGGAGGCGCTAGAAACTTCAGCATGAGGATTTCAATAGCCAACGTGAAACCAGAGTTGTAAAAAAAGCATAAATTTGCACGAAGAATAATTATTCCCCTCGTCAATTACGGCTTCCCAAATGTCTCTTTACACATTTCTCCACTATATTGCTAGGTCTCTCCCCGCTTCATGAATTCCAAAAATTCCATTGTAAAGAAAACACAACAGCTACAAAGGCTACAACTACAGATGAACTTCCTAAGATTTCATGCTCAACATTTTGTAATAAATTATTTGCGGGCAAGTACTTCACATTCTCATACAACGCCAGACCAAAATGACGATGGTACAAATTAAAAAAAAAAAAAAGTCGCACCATCTCAGAATCGGAAGACTTACCTGCAACGTGAAAAGCCTGTCCTCAAACTGGATTTCTTTCGTTAGGAAATCAGCACCTATGGTCGCCTTGTACTGATTACTGAATTTATGGCTTACATACCTGATTACATGGTTTGGAGTCAGCAGGACAATCAGAACATCATACAATTAATTTCTGAACGAAAACCAAACAATAACTTGACATCTCCATTAAAAAACTGATTAACGAGTATTACTGATTCATGAGCGATGTCTTGCCAACCCTATCAACAACGAAACCAAAATCGGAAATTAGAGACATAAAAAAACTGATGTAGTCAACTAAGTTATTAAAGAGAACAAAATATATAACAGACGTAAAAGAAATAAAAAGATCCTAAAGCTCACCCGCTATCGCCAAGGATGATGACTTTCAAAAGCATTCTCCTCCGCGATGCCATGGATTCCGATCCAAGAAGATCAAGCAGTCGAGAATCTCAGATCCAAGTGGCGTATCGAGCCCTTGTATTCCGACCGATCTAGGGTTTGAATGCCACCAAGAACAGGTCCAAAAATTAGAGGGAAGAAATTTCTAATTTTAGAGGAAATAAGGGAGAATCGCGCTAGACTGGGCCTACAACTATTTTCGGGTCGGATCAATTGTTGACAGGTCTACCTACAACTATGGTCATTCCAGAGCTGGACGACTGTTAAGTAACGAAACGTTTATAAAAAAATGTAAATTAGTTTATTTTCAAGGAAAAATAGTAATAAAATTATTTATGCGTGCCTTATCTAATACATAATGTATATTTTTTTTTAATAATTTTTGACAGGTAATGAAAATTTATGATTTTTTTTTTTTGCAACGGTTGCCACTATTTAAGGAGGTGTTTGATGGCGTAACCAATCTTTCGGCTGATTTGAAAGAGGCACCCACCCCAATACCTCCTTACCAGCATTTATTTGGGCCCCAATTAAGGAACAATTATTAGATCAGGTGACCTGACGTAGCTCTACGTTCGGACGCCAATAACTCGCCACGTGGTCTTACTTAATACTGCGCGGCCCGACGACTTGACCCGGGATTGCTACGTTCGCGTATTGCTCGGTATTACTCTAGATATTGCTCGGTATTGATAGGAATTGCTTGGCAATAATGAAAAATATCACTCTGTGAAGAGCAATACCAAGACTCGGTATTGCTCGGTATTTCTAGGTATTGCTCGGTATTGCTCTTCACGGAATGGTATTTCTCGTTATTGCCGAGCAAAATCGACCAATAATGAGCAAATGCCGAGCAACACCTAGCAACAAGCGAACATGGCAATCTCGTCTCCGTTCCGGGTCGGGGTTGTCGCGCCGCGCGGTAAATAGTGAGAACACATGGCACTATTTTACTGGCGTCTGAACGTAGAGCTACATCATTTGTGACAATTTTTTAATGCTTTACTTTTATATCTTCATTATAATTTATGTTTATGTATTACTTTTTCATTACTTTCAAGAAATTTATATACTATGAAGCTGTTTTTTATAGCAACTTTTAAAAAAATTATTTTTCTCACAAAAACTTTATAGAATAAGTTATGGTACCCATAAATAATAAAGTTTTGTAAAAGTATAAAATAAGAGGTGTGACTGTGTGAGTTTGTAAAAAATAAACTCAATAGGTGAAGCTTATTAAAATATAAGAAATAAGGTATGGGATATAAATAAAATTGCTAAAATAGATAGGTGTAACAACGGTTATTATATCATTATAAGTTTAAACAATTTACATAATATAATATTATTAAATGTAGAAATCATTCAATGTTGCTTATTATGTAGTAGATTTTCTTAGTCCTCTTCTCCTTACTCGCCCATTTTCATTCCACTTACTCTATCGTCCTAATTAGTCTTGCAAGTAGGGTCAGGGTTAGCCCACAAATAAATTTGGATTCAAGAAATCTTGAAAGGTGCCATGAACATGGACTTGATGCCATTGTAGAGAAATCTTGAAAGGAACACTACATCAAGCAAAACAATAACCTAAAGAGCCAGCTATAAATATAGAAAATTAAAACTTTACAACCCACTTTGATTTGATGGATATGAAAGAAAGAATCATAAGGATGACCTAAGGAGTGTTGGAGCGAGTCTAAAGGAAGGCCTTGAGGGACGCAAATCAAGGCGAAGGCATTGATATTAATATATAGCATTGACAAGACCAACTCCTAACACTAAAGAATAATCCTCCTACATGGAGGGGCGAGTGAGGGAAAGAGAATTTCAATTAGAAAAAGGATTGCTTATTCAGATCTCGAGGAACTTGCCAACCTTTCTAACAAAATTTGGGGAGCTTGGTGCCCTATAATCGACTCCTAAGATTACACTCATCCAATAAAAATTCAACTTAGTTGAAGTCATTGAAGACAAAGTTCGACAATTCTATGGATTCCAACTTACTAAGTGACCTCATTTTCTCTGAGAAATTCCCTTCATATTCATTTGCATGCAATGTCACAAATTATCACAACATTCAAATATGATAAAAAAATCCAAACATGCAATAAGCCAACCTAAAATTTAATTAGTTAACTATCAAGTTTTTTGTTGACTGGCTCCAAACTAGAAGAAAATAAGCTCAATAATAACTCAAGTCACTAATAAAGAAACTTTATTCCAACGTAAAATTTAATTAGATAAAAAAATTGTAAACAAACATAAGCTTGTGATTTGGGGGTTACCTACTTATGGTAAAGTCTAAAAGTGGCAAACGAGTTGAAGCCATAAGGTAGATGAAAAGTTTGTACTTGATAAAGTTGCCCTTTACTCTTATTAATAAAAATCATTAAGAAGCATGAATGAGAATAAAATGCACAAATATATTCGACAATGTAATGTATGTATGTGTGTGTATTTATACGAACATGAGTGTATACATGTTTCCTTTCATATATAAGGCTAAGTACAAAGTGTTCATTTAAAAAAAAAAAGTAAATATATAAATGAGCGACACTTACAACATTATACTCCTATGAAGAGTTGAATACAAATCACACTTCAAGATGACTCGAGAAGGCCTTCTCTTCCCTTAGAGAGTTCGCCACTTTCTCCAACTTAGCATTTTCTCCTTGATTAACAAAACTTGCCTAACAAGCTCTTCATGTCCCCGCACAGATTAGACAAATAAGTCTCTCAAAACTCTTATATTGCTAGACAAACTCTCTAGTTGAGAGCATCGAGTAGAGCCAAGCTTGGTAGTATTTTTCAATCCCTGTTTTTCCCTCGAAAACTCTTCAACTTCAACAGAAGAAGAAATCTAGGATGGGGATTTAAAAACTAAAAAATAAGGAAAGTTAGAAATTAGATAATAGAAGGGGAAAAATCAAATGCTAAGTACTCGCAAGAGGGACAATGATTTTAAAATTTGCTAGAAAATGATGAATGGTTGCCCCAATAGGTGATTTGTATATATAATATAGACATTATAAACCCTCCCTTCATAAGCTCACAAAGTCAACCTCATCTGAAGAAATGATTAAAGATTGTTCCCACACACAAGTGGCAGATTAAGGATTAGTATCCACACTCCATTCCATAGTTGATTTCCCAAAGAAGAATATGCTCCCCCAGTCACTCGTCACCCTCAACGCACAAATTTTTAGATGGGAGAAGAAGAAGATAATGCAAATGCGCTTGACTTTCATTATCTTATGCATGTTACAAAAATGGTGGATGCTTCACTAGAGCTGTCTCTCTTACACATGGGCAGAAAAGGTAGAAAGATGAAGATACATAGTGCAATCTTAGCATGTACTAGCCCATAGTTGTTAATGATGGTTATCACTTTGAAGAAAAGGGGAAGTTGCAGTCAACAATAAAATTGGTCCAAATAAAATTAGAATTCATCCATCTTTGATGAATTTGGAAACTCGTTTTTTAGAGGAGCATGAACCATGAAATTGTCACTAATGTTGAACTCGACCCATAGCCATTAATTTTACACCTCGCAATTAATGAAGATCTATGAAAATTGGAAGTTAAGAATTATTCAGCATAAAGAGTGAAATCACTTGGCTTATTAATCAAGGTGGAAGTAAGACAGAACGATTGAGAAGGACAAGAAGACTAGATAGGAAGTAAAATACAAATGAGGAAAGTGATTCCTTATAAGAAGATCAAACCATCCATGATGGATTACAAATTTTTATAGATTTGAAGTGATATCATCATCAATGAGCATAAATGCACATCTTTTCAAAAGTTGTGAGTCATTGGCTTCTAGCAAAGAAGGTTAGTTTATTAGTGATAGGATAGCCTACTTACAACGGATATTGAAATCTTCATAAAGAAAAAGGCACTTACCACAACAAACTATAGTTGGTTTCCAAGCGATTAAGTGATACACACATTGAGAGATGACATTATCTCCAAAAGAATTATTAAATAGAGTTTGCCCCACAGGTCCAGCTAACCTTAAGCTAAGTAACTCCTCATGTCTATCTAAAATTTTTATTCTTAACACTCAAAGAACTCATCCCTTGTGTCAAAATGAAAACACAAGTCACTAAGCTTGCTTCAATTAGAAGTTGAATAGTCTTAACATAAACGAGGCCTAAAGACTAATGCTAAAAGAAGTTATAGCCTAAAAGGGTAACCTATAATATAAGAGATGAACTAACTTGAGTATGGGAATCAAAGTGATCTTAAATCAGGGAAAAATAAAGAAGTTGCAAAACTACTCCTTATGGGAGAGCAAAGGCTCCCCAGTTAAACAAACAATCTATACTTAATGAGTTCTTTTCTTTTATATTAGCATAGTCATTCCTTCTTTAGGAATGGAGATTGACTTCTTTAGGAATGGAGATTCCATGAATTTAGGAGTATCAAAATGGGTTAATAGGTCGAATTCAGGCATGACCTAAAATTGACCCGACCAGAATCCAATCAACCTGAGTCATTTAATAAACACATCGAAAACATCAACCCAAACCAGACCTGCTAGCAAACTAAATTACTCAAGCCTAACTCGCTAGCAACCTATTTTGATTTAAAATGTTTTTATAACTTATTAACTATAAAGTTTAAGATGTTTGATTAAAAATAAGAATATTATATCCACAAGTTTAAAAAAAATTAAGTAGAAAGAATATTAAAAGGGTCATTTTTTAAGTAAAAAATGGGTTTGTTGGTCAACCCGATCTGTTTATTAAATGGTTCAACCCAAACCCTTTTTTTTTTTGTCAAGTTGGCAAGTCAGGTCATTAATTGACACCCCTACATGAATTGTAAAAAAAAGCAATAATCATTTTCTTCTCAATGGCATTCATATTTTTTGCAATATTTTTGTTTACTTGTCGATCAAAATAATAAATGCTTTTTATCTAATTATCTAGTTCTTTCACAAGTTATTCTTCAAAGGTACAAGAGAATCAGGGAACTACATGCATACCCTTGAATGTGGACTTAGAAGATGGATAAGTCATAGGAACTAAGAGAGAAACTCACCTTACAAAAATTCAAATGAGTGAAGTACTCACCATAGAAGATTTTGAGTATAGGGAACGCTCACCCAAGTCATGTGGAACTTGCCCAGGACACACTCAACCGAAACAAGTGGGATCCAACTAGTGAGATGTCACCCTAGAAAAACTTGCTCAACGGAGGTACTCACCCTAAGAGAACTCACATCGGAAAGAAGGATGCACCCTCATAATATAAACAAAGACTCATCCACACAACAACAACAATTGCATCAATTAATTCAATGCTCTACTAAAGGCCTCGCTTGTTAGGGTGATCAGTTTGAGCCATTTTCCCAATGCACTTACCGTAGGTACTAGCCAAAGGCACCCACCATAGGTGCTCAGAGGCCATGTCAAAGATGGATGTCCATTTTTAGCCACCATAGCCTCTATATGTGTCTACATTACTCATATTATATATTTATTGCATTACCCCTTATGTGCGATCTCTTTTGTAGCTTTACCCTTAAATATAGGATTTGGAGGCTATTTCTAGATTCAAGCCATTATTACTATTCACAAAGAAAAATAGAATTCCAGAGCCCTCTTCTCCTTACCCTCCCTTCTCTCATTTTTGTCGCTTTATTGTTCTAACTAGTCTTGCAAGAATGGCGAAGGTATCTCCCATAAATAAATTTGTTTCCAGCATGCAACTCCACAAAACCAATATTCCAAAGACTTCAGATTATCATACATCAAATATATTATGCATTAAAATATCAAATAATTAGAAGTGAAAAGTAGAATCTAATCCCCATATTCATCTATTTCAATTACTAGAGAATTATTAGAATTAGCATATATAAAACTTTTCTTACACAAAATAACTTAATCTCAACCATAATGTCAACCCATGAATAGCTATGACTATTAAGGCAGAAAATAAGATTAAAGTTTTACATTTTACATATGAAAAAGGAGAAGAAAAACAATCCATGTGAAACCCAGTGGCTTCCACTTCAGCCTCAATTTAACTCTTCTTCTTCCTTCGCAAGAAGATAAACCACCACCTCCTCATCTTGATTTCAAACCTTAAAAGCAAGAGTCACCTTTAAAAACCTTAATTGCCGAGCACTCACCCTCACTTGGTCACCTTTTTTCACTCTCACTACTCAAAGTAAAATCCTGCTTCATACAAATACACCATAACATAATAAAGTAAGGTTCTATTTTACCCCTCACATACCAAAACAAAAAATGAGGATTACAAAAATGAACAATCTCATTTGCTAAGCGATCATAACCAATAGCAAGATCACAAGGTAGTAAGATGTCACATCGCACATCCTCATAGACAAAGTAATTTGCTAGCAACACACCAGAGAACTAAGATCGGCCAAAACAACAAAGCACAACAATTTGGAGAAATAAAATAACTCCATCATAGTAGATTTAATTCGAATAAACATCATAAGTATGAGAATGCGTTAAGTATGAGAAGAATGGCCTCTCGGATAACATCAAATCATGAGATTTGTTTGTCCACAAATCTCACACATTAGCCATTAATGCCTGCGAGGTATCAATGAATGAAACTCACCACATGAACCTTAAACTGAGAAATAAGATCCATTTCTCCACCCTTATTCTTACACAAACAAAGAATTTTGATGTATTGTTATAGAACACAATAATTGACGCTAGCTGTTCACTTAGATTGCACTTATCTTCTCATCAACAACAACATCAAGCCTTATCCCACTACGTGGAGTTGGCTACATGAATCCTTTTTCTCCATTGTGTTTGACTAAGAGTCAAATTCTCATTTAGATCTAGTAAAGAAAAGGTTATTTCTAATATTTTCTAACCAAGTCTTTTTAGGTCTACCTCTACCTTTCTTAACATAGATTAAATCTAATGCATCTACTCTCCTAACCGGATCATCAGAAGGCCGCCATTTTATGTGACCAAACCATCTAAGGCAACTCTCTCTAATCTTATCTGCCACTGGAGCTACTCAAACCTTTTCACATATATGCTCATTTTGTACCATATCTCTAAGAGTAAAGTCACTCATCCACCTGAGCATCCTCATCTCTGCAACACTTAATATTATGCTTCTCTTTTAATGCACTTATCTTCTCATCGTTCAGCAAAATAAATGTTCATAAGATGTTCTTTAATTTGTTTTCCCATATAAATATCTATTGGATTACAATAATTAAGGTTTAAGATATCCCTTTTTTACAGGATACAGATGATTTTGAAATACATAAATAAATTTCTTACAATTCAGTATGCAATTGAACAATCCTTTCAATAAGGGACTCTGAATATCTTAACCCAATAGATTATGCTGTAAAACTATGCATCAAACCACTAACAACAATGATAAAATTTCATATTAACATTTGCTGAAACGCATTAATATCCATAATAATAAATAAAAAGTTTAAATAATTCCAAACCAATTTACGTGTAAATGAATTATATTGTTGGCTGTTCAATATTTCACCAAAATAACTGCGCATAGATTGTACAGAGCACCCAAATGATGATATCCTCTCGCTTAACACTTTCTGGTTTTCATACCATCCGAAAGTCACAAGGGATGCAAGGCTCTTCAATGAGACCCAGTTCAGTCTTAAAGGCTAGCTACTGCTATAGCTATGAATGTTCTTCATCACTCTCATCTCCATTTCACGTGTGTTCTGGCCTTCACTGCTCGTTACAGAGGGAGCAAGACCATATTCACTGGTTGTTCCACTGTACTCGCTACTTGAATTTACTTGACTTCGCAATGCCAATGTTCTGAACTTCTGCATTGCTTCATTGTACCTTTGAGAATCGTAATCAGAACTAGTATTAGTAGTATAGGAGTCATGCATTCTGCTATGGCCTGGTTGCATGCCTTCATTCAGTTCTTCAAGGGGAACACCTCCTTCTAAAGCCCGAAGAACCTGTCGAGTTCAACATGTTATTCAAAGTAATATCTAATATAAGATTGATTTATGTTAGACAAATTGTTGTTATGCCTGTTGCTTATGCAATCACAGCAAGTGAACTTGTAAAATTTTGATTTTTTTTATTTGTGTTAAGATGAGAAGATAAATGCTAAAATATTAAACTACAAATGCTCGAAAGTAGTGGAAAATTTATACTATCGAGCATTTGTGTTCTAATTTTGATGTTTGTTTTCTAATTCTGAAGTAAAAATGAATGAGATATTATTATGAAATTTATCTTTTCTTGCAAATCAAGAAACCATATGTCATTTGACCAAGCATAAGAAGCACTATGTTGCAGATCTCCATGGTAGATTTGTTTATTAATTTCCATTGATTTAAGTACCCTACACTGTACTATTAATAAAACATTTAACTCCCTATTTAGATGATCCCTTATAGTGCTAATTTTGCATGCTAGCTTCTTGACATAATGGCCTTTAAAGTTTTTGAAACTTAGTATACCATTACTTTTCATGTTGTAGATTAAGATGAATTGTTTCAATTTATCAAATGGATATTACATTATTGACAAATAAGAAAAAAAAATTATGTGACAAAGTATGTGGCGTGAAAATGTTCTTATAGTTCAATGGAATACCATGCTCATTCGAGGTCTACGCCTTGCGGAGTGCCGCACACAAGCAGCAGCACAAGCGATCATTTGTTTCATTTCCTTATTATTATAATTTCTTCCGAGTCGTGGATCAGAAAAATCAACATAGTAACCATCTTCCATAGCTCTTGTCATTAAAGGCCTTGCCTAAATGAAATAAGAGAATAATTATGATTGAAGTAGTTACTAATAGAAAGACCACAAAATAAATCTAAGTATAGGAAATTATAAGATTTATTCATGATTTATTCTCCATGCATTAACAATTAAACTGAAGCTGAAAAATAGAATTCATGTAGAAAGTACAGATAAAATAGGTTTGGTAGGAGACTCAAACCCAATCAACTAAGCTTCCATCCAATGACACAGCTGCGTCGACAGGTTGTTTTCCAGTTATTAGCTCTAATAGCATGACTCCATAAGAATACACATCAGATTTATCTGTAAGTTTTCCAGAAGATGCATATTCTGGCGCCAAATACCTGAATTCAGCATTCAAGTCACAAATGAAAATGTTCTTAAGCTAACAGATGAAAAGCAAATCTAAACAAAAAACATAATTTAAAAAACCTGTAATGGCACTTTAGTATGGCATACAAGATCAAAAACCGAAAGAAAGAACTTGGCATGATGCAACCATACATAATTTTAAGTTATGAAGTTAATTTTTTTGACCTATGAAGAAAATTGTCACACGCATTTAATCATGAGATAACTTTTGTGGCAAGCTCCCCATGGAAAATTATTTTGTGCGGATGCCGAACGCCGTCCAGAGATCAACCAAAATGCCCCACATCACCCCCGCTCGGTACCGTGCTCGGTACTGCTGACGTTGCACATTCTGGTTGATCTCCAGACAATGAACTATGCTCGACGTCCGCACAGAATAATTTCTCCACCATGAGGGTATGAAATGAGGGCAGGGAAACCCCTTCTCAATGTTTGGGTAGCTCCACCTTTGAGATGTATCCACTAGTTACTAAGTTATTTAATTAAACACATTTGAAAGTTTTATTGTTGTATTTTTATTAGCCCTTTTTTTTTTCATAAAAGAGGGGGGCATCATTTTTATGTAGTATCCGATGACATACATCCACAATCAAAACACAGTAAAATCTACAACTACATATATAAGGCATCCATCAATTGGGTGAACTGACAGCATAGTAAAATCTCTATGTATTTCATGCGTTGATTTCTTTTCTAACATAATTATTTTTTAGCTCTTTGTTTTTGAATTAATTTCACGTATTTCCTAACACTTATAGGATCAAACTGATATCATTCAATTCTCTTCAGCATAGTAAAATAAAATCTGCAGAATTTTCTATTCACACATTCAATAATCAACATCAAAACATTCAAAAGAAAATAATTTTTACCCAAAAGTTCCCATAACCCGGGTGGAAACATGCGTACTTTTATCAGGTGCAAACTTTGCCAAACCAAAATCTGCAACCTGCATATGTCCTCCAGTTTGTTAATGATATGTGAATACTTTCATGGAGTAAATCAATATTGGGGAATAGGCCAAGCCTTGCTACCTTGGCCTCAAAATTGTAGTCGAGGAGGATATTGGCTGCCTTAATATCACGGTGTATAATCTTAGGATTACCTGGATACATAATACAAATCATGTCAACAAGCAAATACTCAATCAAGAAAGGAATTGGGAGAGAGTAAAATAAAATAAAGTTAAGATAGTATACAGTATTCATGCAAGTACGCTAGCCCTTTAGCAGAACCCAAGGCAATTTTTAATCTGGTTGGCCAACTCATTGTTGGTCGATCTGCTTCTGCAAGAAATAGTGGTTCAAGTTTAAGGATCACACTATATGATTTCGAGTCATCAATAATGAAAAACAAAGAAACTCAACTTCAACCTGAGAAGAAAATGCCAACTGATTGATTTATTAGTTAGATAGAGAATACCATTTGAAGTAATAAAAATGGAAATGGTCAAAACAGCTTAGACAAAATGTCTAGCAGCCATGACTTAGTCCTGTATGGCTAAGTTGGATGCTAACTTGAAATGCGTTAGATTTTTTCCTTTTTTTTTTTCACCATTGAATCTTTCAGGAAATGCATCTTATAAATGGAAAATGGTCTACTAGGAAACTATATGAGAGGAAAAAATAACTTGATACCCACTTTAGTCTATTTAATAAAAATTACTAAAAATATTATCATATTAAATTTATAATCAAACCTTAGAATATCATTTTGATATACTATAGCAACCTAGGACATACATATCATGCAAGGTATTATTCGCTTTGGCCCAACATGCCCGACACTAAGTTGAATCTTGCAACTTTATCATTTTTCATGTAACTTCTTAGGAGGTCACCCATCCAAAATATGCACACTTACATGTGAAGTTCTCAAAAACACACATTTTAAAACAAAAAATGCATTGCATGTTATATAGCCTGACTCGTTACTTATATAGCCTAACATCTTTTTCTTCTCTTGTGATGTAAAATCAGACCATTTTTCCAACTTTTTTCATGAAGCTTGACATTTTAGAAGCCTTTTAGGAACTATGCCTTATTTAGGCTTTATTAATGGCGATCACCCTTCAACTGTATTGGAATGCCTTAAATGTGACACATGTGATGATTGACCTATCTTAAAATTACACATAATAATTTCAAATAGTAGCAAAGATTCATCTAGATATATAAGTGTACTGAAAAAATAGAGTACAAAAAAATGAAATTATAGACAGTATAATACAAACTACATAAATATTATTCAACCAAATAGATATGTCCTAAGCATATTTGATACTATCCATTCAAAAAAAAAAATGCAAATAGATTCCTCACTTGAATTCAAGATGGCATGTATTTCACATAATTATCTAATATAATGGCAACTAAGTGATCATGTTATATGTGCCATCCCGGTCAACTATGTATCTAATATAATGGCAACTAGGAGGTCAACTATGTATTATCTAAGTTTACAAGTACAAGTGTAAAAAAAGAACATATATGTGCCATCTTTATATCCAACAAATAAAGTTGTCCATGATAAATATGAAGCTTGGTTAAAAAAAAATTAAGGAATTACCATGTAAGTGAAACTCCAATGTATTATTTTGAACATATTCATAAACAAGTAGCCTTTTTCCTTCAGAAATACAAAACCCAACCAATGAAACCAAGTGCTTGTGATGGACACGACTGATTATTTCAACCTCAGCCCGAAACTCACGCTCCCCTTGCCCACTTCCTATCTTCAATTGCTTAATTGCAACTTCTTTTCCATTCAGTAGAGTACCCTTATGCACATATCCAAAGCCTCCTTGTCCAAGAAGATTGGCATCAGAGAATCCGTCTGTAGCCAAAGCTAATTCTTCATATGTGAAACTATTTTTAGTGAATCCAAAGGCAAATGTAGGTGCAGGTGGAGGTAGTGAAGTCCCCGAGTAATCGGACCCAGAATTTCCACTGCTGGTATAAACGGATTGAGGTGGTGGCATTGGAGGCGGATGAGAAGCAGGCCAAGGTGAAGGACTAGGCAGTTCAGGGAATATGATAACTTGTTTTTCGAATGGAGGATCATAATGCTGCAACTTCAGAGGAGGTGCACTGTAACTAACATCTGAAAAATAGCCAATAGAAAAGAATAAGTCCTGATTAAAATGTTAACTTAGCTAGTGGCTCAACAAAAAATAACAGAAATGTATTTTCAATCTAGCTCAAATAATACGTTATTAAAAAGAATAGTAAAAATTAATGAGATGAAAAGTTCAATTTTCAAACTATGTGAACCTAAAAAATATAGATGTAAAAAATGTTGAGTTGATGACCTTCATATACGCTCAATAAAGAAACATCTTACCCAAAAAGTACCTGATGTTTGTGAGTTATTTTATTTATGGAATGGTTGGTATAGCTTTTTCTATACTTCAAATCCAACTATTTTGATAAATCTCTTTTCAATCTTATTATTAGTAAACTCACCTTTCACAGGGCTTAGCAAACTTAATGATTTCTTCTTCTAAAACAATATAAATCTTCATACAAGTAGCTAAATGGTTCATCAAAATTTATAAATTCTCATGCAAAATAATTTTCAAATTTTAGTCCTCTTGAGATTTATCTAGTATAAGGGCTTGATGTTGTTGAGATTTACTAAATTTGTATTTGCAATATTTACTAAATCTTACTTGTAGTAGCCCAATAGTGGCAACAACAAGAGAAGTAGCCATCAATTAAGTGAACTTATGCATGATTCTTGATGTGTTTTATGACTTGATTCTTTCTGTTTTATCACTGTGAGTAATTTGACTTTGGTCTTGCCTAAATCACCATTAAAAAAAACTCTATAACATGTTAATTCTCATGCAATTAGTAATCAAACCTGCAAGCATAATGGCGGAAGTAGGTTTAAAAGGTAGAGGAGTTGAAAATGCTTAGTGTTCAAGTTTCCATAATGGCTATTAAGGTATTTCATATTATACATAGCTACCAAAAGGGTTTAACTCACAGCCACCCCTGGTTCCCCTCTGTGCAAGGGAACAACAAACTATCAGTAACTCTGTTCCAAAATAGAAATTAGGACATGATAGCGTTACAAATTAAGTATAAAATATCTGCACAGCGTATATCTTTTGTCGAACTTCAAGAAGGGATTTGAGGAGAAGTCAGTAAGGGAAAAAAAAAGCTACCTTTCTGCGGTGGTAATGGCATTTGAAGAGACCTGTCGTTGCCCTTCCACGATTCATAATCTTTACTCTTTCTCTTCTTTCCGCAACAGACACAAAGAATGGTGATAACCACCACAAACGCCATCGCACCGACGGCAATCCCGATGATAGCCGGCGTCGGTATCGACTCCGAAATGGACGACAAGTTTAGAGCGGGCGGAGGCGGTTGAGATTCCTGCGGCGATTTTCCTCTCGGCTGTGGGATAGCCGGAGGGAAAGGCGACGTCGCCGGCGAGAGGGACGACATCCAGAGAGCTCTTATACAAACAAACGCCAAAGCGACCTTTTTTTCCTTAAATACTTCTACAGGTACTTATGCTTTTATGCAACCAGTTCTTCTTCTTCTTCTTCTTCTTCTTCTTCTTCTTCTTTCTGCGACGGATTTTCATAGTATCTTCCGCCCAAGGGATCGATAGAGAATGAGTCAAAAGACCTGAAAATAGTGTACAGCTAATGCAAAGGGGAGCGAGAGTAATAATGGTGCCAATTGGTAAGTGGTAGGTAGAAAAATTTAGCGCTTCGCTACCAAATCTGTAGGAAGAATCAAATTATTTGTTATTCTTTGTGCGTCGATGGAATCCATGGGCGTTGATAACCATTGAGTTGTTTTTAGATTCGTGCGTCTATGATTTCGGTTATTTGACCGTTGCTTTATTTATTTTAAAATTGTGTTCTTTGTCTTACTTTTCCCAACTCACTTAACTGACCAAAAAGATTTAGGCCCTTGTGGGGTGACAAATGGAACGCCATTGCTCCATATCTTATTTGATTTTGGTTAGTTCCTAAATAACAAATGAATATCAAATCATGGCATATATCTTAAGGTGTTTTGATTAGAACTTTATTATCTATATTAAAGAAATACAATAGAGGTCAAGATTGTCTTGGCCTCATTATCAGAGCAAGATTAAAGGTTAAGATGAAACCAAGAGCAATAATTAATCCATCATAAAATAAATCAATGAAAAAAATTAAAAAAATTATTTGAAATTGTTTAAAATTATATGCATGATTAAATTAAAATTTTAAATTATCAAATTTATAGTCGTTTCTTTTGTATGAGAGACTTTTATTTATTTTATTTTTATTTACTTTAGTATTGTATTTTCTTTATTTGAAGGTCCATAGGTTGCCTCTTTAATTGGATTTGAAATTAAAGTGTATTTCCTTATATTTGAAGTATTCTTTATTATTATTTTTATTTTTATGAATTTCAAGCATTATAACATGATATAATCATTTAAATACTTATTTGATCAATAAAAAAAGGTTTTGGTATTTTAATAAAATCAACGGTCAAGCCCTATATAAAGGTCAACCACAATTAGGACACCCATTGACTTAGTCTCTCTCTCTCTCTCTCTCTCTCTCTCTCTCTCTCTTCCTACGCTCCCCAAACCTATTTGATCATCACCAAAAACTCCACATTTGATCTTCACACATCCTTCTAACAATTCCGAGCCTCCCTAAATCCCAAAGAAGCCATTAGAATCATCACCTGAATAAATGTTTCATGACAAGCAAAAATTAGCCAAAATTAGGCATCTTGACATAATCATAGCATGGCATCTATTACACACTTCCAAACCTAGCTATTTGATCTCCTCAAAACAATATTAGATCATATATACTAAGCACTTATAGACCCTAAGGCATATTTCTAGGATTTGTTTACCCTAAGCACTTGGTCGAATTTCTCTCTTTAGCCACACCATTAATAAATTTCTCTAATCATCTAAGAATGCTCCATACATCCTTAACCATCCACCACATATATTGAAATTATTGGATTTATACCTCTAAGGCAAAGTTGTTATTGATTACTTTTTTAAGTGATATTGTCTATAATCTTTAAAGTTGGTGTATAAATTTTAAATTCTTTTGAAAGAATATAACAATTGTCCATATGTTAAAACATACTTAGCATAAAAATAGACGCAAACAAAATTATTCTTATATTTTCTCCACCTCATGACTAAACTTTGTGAGTGTCTAGATGAGGCCAACTTGTTGAAAAACTCCTAAATATCAAGTGAAAAGAACTATATTTTTGCACTATGTTCAAAATTTCTCATATACCAAATATGCCACCTCTGTCTCTCTTCATGTTCACAACTCATTGAGTAATAAATGATAATGGAAATGATAGCCATCCATAATTTGCTTCCATTTAGCAAGACAATGATATTTACCATTGACACAAATAGCTCTTGGTGATTTACTCATGTTTTTAAGTTATTTCTAATATTACTGCTAGAATTGACTTTTCTCTTTAATATTGTCTGAGGTTTGAAATAACCCGATAAAACTTTGGATCAAATATATTCATGAGAACCTACTTTTAAGTTATTGCCAATTGTGGATATCAAAACTTCTATCAGACACTTGTGAGAGCATTATTATGATTAGGGCTATCAAAATCGGGTAATGGGTCTGGTTCAGGTTCAGCCCAGAACTAACCCGACACTGTTTGATTCGACCCATTTTTTTGCAAACGGGTTAGTTTTTTGGAGCCGAATCCGACCCGCTTTGGGTCCAGGTCAACACAAACCCGACCCACTTCGAATATGTTTTACAATTTTTTTTATTTAAACTTAAATCAAATTAAGGTAAGATTTACTTCAATTATTTTAAAATAAATCAAGCTTAATTCAATTTGGGCAAATGGTTTATTATTTTTTTGAAATAATATTTACTTATTTCATAATAACCTTTTAGAACCCTCCTAAATTAATTAAAAATGGGTCAAACCGGGTTGATATCGGGTTTTCGTGTCAACCCAAACCTGGCCCCTTTTTGCAAATGGTTGAAATCTCTAATTCGAACCCTACCCAGTTCGGGTTTTGGTTGACCTGAACCCGAAATTTTCGGATTGGATTTGGGTGGGTCAAATAATGACACCCATAATTATGATTTATACAAATCATATCAATAAATAACTTTCATATGAATTCAGCTTATGCTCAAGTGGGCATGATTCAATCATTGGCCACAATTAGTAGCCAATCATAATTGACATGATGCTTCATATAATGAATATATAAATAATTTCAAATAGATAATCATAATATGCTTAGTTCATGCCCGAATCAAATGCACATATTTCATGACTATCAAAGCTGATATAATAAGACAAGTTTAATTTTGATGAATTGGTTTATCTTGAAACTATCATTTTTAATGCTTAAATGGTCATAAGTCGCAGGGAATTAAAATGTAGATTTTGAATACAACATAATGAATTCTTATGATCTAATTCAATGAGATTTCGTATTCAAGAGTATGCATAAACCTAATGTAACTAAATTTCACTTCTTTGAACAATCATCTAATTCTCTATTATATACTCAATGATAAGGGGTAGTGAAATTTTGAGAATATACATGGCTAAGGCCTTTGATAGAATGTAATGTGATTTCCTATTTAAGATATTTTGTATTTTCCAATTGATGTATGACCTTATATCATTTATTTGAGTAGATATCTTCAACATTGTTTATACATTATGCTTATGCCTAACAACAAGAGGGATCATATTTTTAAGTAAAATGAATGTAGCGTAAAGTCTAAAAATAGTGGCGGCGGTGGTGGCCTGTAGCGGGTAGCAACGTTGGTGGTTGGTTGTAACTACCCGAAAAAAAAAAGTATTTTAAAATATGAATTTTTGAATTTCTGTTTGAACTGGAAAGCTTCGGCGCTGTGCTTGTGAGCATTGTGGAGCTAGGTTTAAAAGCACAATGACGCCAAAAATTGTTGTTGTGACTTTTGAGTCTCTATATCTACATTAATTCTAAATTATGCATGTAATTCTACGACGTTAAACCGCTAATATTGTTTATATACATATATTCTTATAAATATCACTTTCATTACCTCACCCTTCACTCAGTCGCGTGGCTTGGCTAGGAAGAAATGGGAAGAAAGGAAGAGAAGTAGGGAAGAAGAGGAGAGAGGAAGCTCTTCGTAGTATTCTCGATCGCTTGTTGTTCTTTTTATGGAAAGTGAACTAAGTGTTGTAATTAATTATTCTCTTACTTCTATTTTTCATAATTTTGATTTCTACGGATTTTACCTCTCTTAAATCTAATAAAAACACATTATCTCATAATTTCACAGATTTTTATCGTGTAACTTTTGATATGTTATAGATTTGATCATTTTTAATAATTTGATATGATTTTATTACATTTTGATAGTTTAAATATGTGTATATAAACTTCTTTGTAAAAAATGTGCAGGGAAAAAGATATACTGAAAATAGGTTAAAAATGATGTAATGTGATGTAATATGTGTTGAAATGATTGATAGTACTGACATATATTGGAATGCGATACTAATCTAATTGAAAGGACATTCTATTTGATATTAGATATATGAAATGATAACTTTAAGATACATCAATTCACTTATGGGAGTCATAAGAAGTTGGAGATTGATTAGGAGTTATAAGGAGTTTGGGTGATTGATTCACATGATTCAAAAAGAGTTATAAAAAGTATATTGATTTAGAGTTATAAAAGACAACTAGTTTAGAGTCATAAGTGGAGGAGTAAGATACCCTCATATGAATATCTAGGGGTGTCAATTCGGGTCAGCGGGTCGGGTTTGGGTCGAACCCGAAACTGACCCGGCACTGTTCGGGTCAACCCGAACCCGACCCGATTCGGGTCCGGGTCAACCCGACCCGACACGAATGACCCGAATTTGATCTAAAATTACTAAGTTTCGAGTCAAAATTCAATTTTTGGGTCAAAATCGGGTCAAAAACGGGTCGACCTCGGGTTTTCGGGTCAAATATGAGTTTTCGTGTCACTTTTGGGTCAATTTCGGGTTGTTGGGTCAACCCGAACCCAACCCGATTTTTAAAACGGGTTAATTTGTTCAACCCGAGCCCGACCCGATTCGGGTTCGGGTTGACCCGAACCCGAATTTTTTCGGGTCGTGTCAAAAATTGACATCCCTATGAATATCTAATAGAATATTGATTATTGACATTGATTATTAAATATGAATATTGATTATTATTAATGTTTACTGTTGTTGAATATTGTTGTTGATACTATTGTATGATTATATAATTGATAGACTAATGAGAATGAATGAATAATATGACTAAGTGAAACTGATTGAATGATAAAGACAAAATGATTGATTAATTGATATAGATGTTGATACAAATAGCATATATTGATTCATAGATTTTATATATGATATACAACATACTATTTCTCTTTTATCTTGCATTGATTTCAATTATATGATATTTTTTAGGCTTTTATGCTTATTATGTGGTATTTATATGATTTCAGGTAAAGATAAGAAGCCTCCAGCTTAAAGCTATGTAGTGATATTCTTTTGTAGTTTGCTTTTAGTTCCAATGTTTTATGTAAATTCTTTTGTAGTTAGTGGGATTATATATATATATATGATTTTGAAACGCTGGATGTAGCATGTAAATATTGAATATTATTGTTGCGTCCTGGAATATTCGCGGCGGTAGAGAAATATAAGGTTTAACGTCTTAGCGTTGTACGAAGATCCAGCACACAATCAGATAAGTGAGAGGGTGTAGCGTTCATAAGAGACACCAAAGTTTTTACGTGGAAAACCCCTGAAAAAGGGGGAAAAACCACGGGGCCTGGCCCGGTTTGAATGAATCCACTAGTATTTGTAGTCGATTACAAATGAGGCCCTTCCTTAGGAGAAGGCCTTGGATTGATGTAGCAAATGTACATCATATAGATTGCATTACATGGTAAGAGTTACATATACAAGTTTGTTTGGCCTGAAGGACCGTGGTCGGCAGGAGACCGGAGTCGGCAGGAGACCTGGGTCAGAAAGACCGTTGTCTGTTGATGGAGGTCGGAAGGACCATAGTAGGCGACAAAGGCCTGAAGAACTGTAGTCGGCAGGAGACCGTAGTAGGCAGGAGACCGTAGTCGGCCGGAGACCGTAGTCGGCAGGAGACCGTAGTCGGCCGGAGACCGTTGTCTGGTGATGGAGGTCGGACGGACCATATTAGGCGACAGTGGTCAGAAGGACCGTAGGCGGTAGGAGATAAGGAGTCAGGTGTTAGTCCCAGTGTCACTTGGAAGATCGGATGTTGATGGTCTGGCCTTGAGTAGGACGTCGGGCCTTAAGCAGGACGTCAGGTCTTCAGCAGGACGTCGGGTCTTCAGCAGGACGTCGAGACTTAACTTCGGGCCTTGAACAAGACGTCGGGTCTTTGGCAGGACGTCGGGGATGAACGTCGGGCCTTAAGGTGGTGGTCCGGCGAGGTTTTGTGGTGGTCCGGCGAGGTTCCTGCGGTGGTCCGGCGGTGGTCCGACGAGATTCCTGCGGTGGTCCGGCGAGGTTCTGCGGTGGTCCGGCGGTGGTCCGGCGGCTGTCGAGGAGGAACTCCTTCCTTCTCTTCTCTTCTTCTCTCTCTTGCTTGGATCCCCCTCTTATGAGAAATGAGGGCTCTATTTATAGATTTTCTGGAGTGGCATGGCCCGTAAATAGGCATGAGATCAGGGCCGAATAGGGAGTGGTCCAATGGATGGCCGATATTGAATCCTACGATCATACACCGTTCATTGGACATTTGAAGGCCTTAGTGATGTCGGAATTCTGTGATCTTGGGCTCGTTGGATTCGTCTCATCGAGCCCTTCGATTCGAGTATAAGCTCGTCAAAATCGGAGTCCGTTTGGTAACTCAAATTACGGTTTGAACCTTCCAACAGCACTTTGGATCCATTATTTGGACCCATTTGGGCTCGGATTGGGTTGATCTTGGTGTCGTTGAGTTCGTATTTCCGAGACGCTCAGTTCGACTATAAGCTTGCTGAAATCGGAGTTGGGGTGCTCTCGGAATTAATTTTTGAAGTTTCCAACTAGCTTTCGCCTCGAGATTCGTGCCCGATCAAGCTAATTTTGTGATGCCGTATCAATTATAATAATGTGGATGTATCATGTAAATATTACAGTAATGTGAATTTTAAATTGATCCGGTTAGAAATTACTATTAATTGTTATTGAAAAAAACAAAATATACATAGATAAATGAAAAGAACTAAAGAAAATAAATTCTTTGGATCTTAGGGCGTGACATCGACGACAACAATAGGAGATGGTGGTGTTTGGAGGTCGTGGTCGGTGGTGGTGGTCGGTGGGTGGCAGCGGTGGTGGCTAGAGGATTGGTGAAGATGGTCAACTATGGTTGGTGATGGTCAAGCGAATTTGCTTGTGATGATAACTGTTCTCAGTCAAACTGAACGGTTTTGTTTATCTCAAAATTGAACAAAAATAATTTAAATGATTTTTATTTTAATTTCTTTTGACACCAAAATACTTCACCCACATGAAATACAACCGATAGGCAGCCCTTAAGAAAGAGGACGTGCGGAAACCGCCGGTAACCGAAGAGAACGTAACTGTATCGCGCCTAAAGTCTATAAAGCCGCTTCCGAGGCCTTATTACCTAAAAACGTATTGTGACAGGTTCTTTTTAGGGTTTTAGAGCGAACGAGCGAGACAGAGAGGCAGCGAGAGAAAGGGCGGAGGTCATCGATGGCTCCTAAGGTTGCTAAGGGCAAGGGAAAGGCGGGGAAGGGATCGAAGGGGGCGGAAGACGCATCGGTGACAAAGCGTGTTAAGGTGTGGAGCACGTGGGCGATGAAGAAGGCGAAGGTCGTAGCCCACTACGGCTTCATCCCCCTCATTATAGTCATTGGCATGAACTCTGAACCCAAGCCCCAACTTTCTCAACTCCTTAGTCCTGTCTAATTTCTTATTTGGTGTGGTACATGCGTGATCCCATCTGCGTTCTTGGGTTTCTTCTTGATCGAAATATTTTATGTATTTTGTTTGTAAAATCATAATCTTCGATTATGTTTGTGGTTCTATGTTTATGTAGTTGTAATTTTTGGGTATCATCCTTTGTATGGAAGATATTTGGGAGATACTGTAGTTTAAATCCTGCTTTGTTTTTTGTCTTGTAATTTTATCGATCATCTCTCGGTTGATGGTCCAGTTTCGACGCGTATTAATTTATGGTCCTTGTGTGTCTTTTCCCTGAGATGTATGATTTCATGTTATGGAGGTCTGATTATGTGTTACATTTTTCTGGTGTTTCTATTATTGCGCGTATAACTTAAAAGTTAAAGATTATGTGATTTTTGCAAATTTTTTTCCTCTGTTAACTTAGAAAAGTTCTTCATGAATCGAAGAACTTGTTTAACTGTTATTCTGTTAATTTTAATATTTCCTTATGCATCCTTATGAATGTCTTGAAATTCAGGGCCGTCTTAATGAACACATTTAGAACTATTGCATTCTGTAAGAAGTCATTTCTTACTTACTATACAGACACGTAAGTTCTGTGGCCATTCTTTTTTTTTTTTTTTCAAATTAAATGACTTGTGGTGCAAACTACAAGACTAGATAAAGATTCAGCGGCTCGTTCGATTAGATATTTAGTGCAAATTACTATCGAAACATGTGACCTTACTGGGCCTGCACCTTTGCTGAAATTTGATGTGCGATGGTTAGGAATATTCTTAATTAATACTTTCTTGTGTTTTGGTTTGTGCCATTGTGTAGTTTCTCCACTCTTGTGCTTGCTTTGAGAATTCTTTTTTATGATGAACAACGTAGCTTCTTTTTTAGGTCTAGATCTTGCCATTGTAGCCATATGTGCAGTGGTAAATTGGGATTTTTTCAATTAATTTGATGTTAGAAGTACCTCTATTTTAGCTTTATCTGCGACATGCTTGAATGTGAAGTTTTCTCCTTTTTGTGATCCATCAATCATTTCAATTGTCTTTTTTGTTGAAGCAATGCCTATGTTCATGTGTGTTCCCTCATGGTAGATTGCTTTGGATCTGTATTTGGTTGTCTTATAACATTGTTTTCATGATTGAAGATCAATTGTAAATTACAACTTAAGTAATGGAAATGTAATTAAGCTTTTTTTTTTATCATCTACTACTTTGTATTTCTTGATAAATGGTGTTAATGAAATAAAGAACTCATTGAAGTTATTTGTCAGCTATTGATTCCTTTTTATCGCCGGATGACTTGGATTATGGATTGTCTTGTGGAAGTGTGAAGAAATTAATAAAAAAAAAAATTATAGGATAAGATGTTATTACTTCATTGGTGAGAAGTTGTTAATTTATTTAAGATTAGTTGTTATGAAAGAAATTGTATATATTAGAACTTTAAAGTTGAAAGATCTTGTTGTGATATGGCATGAAAGTTGGAAGAGAGTTTAGAAATTGATCAGGCACGAGTAATCAGATTTTATGATGGAGGGTTGATGATGTATAAAAGCTGATTGTGGAAAAATATACTCTCAAATTATGAAATGAAGTTGAAGTTATAAACCATAATCATTTTTAAAGCAGGCTAGGTATAAAGTAAGAAGGAAAAGGATATAATAAAAAGGAAATGAAAGAAAATGATCTAAAGATTTTGATAAAGTCACTATTTAACATTAAGATAATTAAATCTTAATGAAAGATGGAGAGTTGTACTCTGACTTTTTTTTATTCAAGTTAAAATGAAAATCCATTTGAAAAAAAATTCAAACAAGGTATAAGAAAGAATTTGCTTAATGATTAAAATATTAAAATTTGGATGTATATTATTGTTGCCTCCATGTGTATTCTAGGACCAATTGGAACAAGCACGACGATTTATGTAAATCAGCTAAATGCTATGGAGAAAAGGAGATATTTAAAATTGCTGAAAGAGATAAAAGGCAAAGTGGAGCTAATAATTAAGAAGATGCATAAAAGTAAAGCTTGTGTTCTTATGTGATATTTATTGAGATTTTTGGATGCTAGAGTAGTTTATTTAACAAATTTTTTATAGTGAAACTCTGATGACTTTGAGAATGCCAAATGTTTGGAGAATTATTTTGATATTATTGCTCAAGAGCTAAGATGTTCATGATTATAATAATTATAGAAGAATCGAAACTTATGAGCCAAATAAGTTGTGGGAAAAGATAAGGAAACATAAAATTAGAAAAATTACATCGAAATGCAAGTATCAGTTTGATTTTATACTAAGAAGATCCAGCGAGATGCATCAAAGCCACCATATCTTAAAAACTAGTGAGAAATGGATAATCCCTCTTTTTCAACCTGATGATCCTCAATTCTCACATCAGCACCATGGGAAAACTTCTTGCTTCACGGCCAACATTTCTCACTCGCAATCCATTTTGTTGTATAATTGGGTTCTCTAAACACCCAACTCCCTCATTTCCTCAATGAAGATTTAGGCTTCGTTTGGGACGGTTTTTTTTATTGCTTCTTAAAGCAGCTTTCTATTACAAAAATTTTAATTTTTGTACTAGAAAGCCGCTTTAAGAAGCAGCAAAATGTGTTTGCTGCAAAAAAAGCCGTACCCACTTAGATAGGGTATTTCCTGAACTTTCCAATATCCAGTTGTTTCTTGGCTTCTCTCTTCCTTAACAAGAGTTAGGTTTAACTTTGCAGTTGCTTTGCTAAGTCATCTGTATCCGATAATTACTGGGACTTTTGATAAACAATCCTCATTTTAGTATCTATAGTTGTGTTTACACCTCAAAAAGATTTCCAAATTGAAGGCCTGTTTCAACCATGTATGCATTTGGCAGACTAATAATACCAGTAGAGAACCCAAAGAACTCGTCCAATTCTGTTTAGCAATGGAAAGGAAATGCCTATTGTTAATTCTTTTAAGCCAATAAAGTTATTCCTTGCCATAGAGATAAGGAGGGCATGATTAGAAGCAAGTCTGTTCAAATGAGAAACCTGGGTGCATTCAATAGTATCTATCAATTCACTTGAGCTGAGTAAACGGCTCTCTAATCTCTCCCATATTTTGTCATTAGACGAAAAGTAATAGTTTTCTTCAGTGGCATGAGAGGAATTTTTTTTTTTTTTAAACTGTTTCCGAATCGAGAGCTTTGTAGAAAATTCGTGACATATTAGAAATCTGTTTAGGGCTTCAAAAGATGACCGTGGAGCTGTAGAGAGAACTAAGCATAGTTGATCAATGCACACTTTATAGGCCCGCAGGGGATAGAAGATTTATTACAGTGATTTCCTCTACAAAGAATGTGATTTCAAATAAGGTTAATTTTAATTATAGGAGGTTGAGGTTTCCTAAACTTGCAAACTTCTAATGTTAATTATATCTCGAATATGTGGGAGAACACTCTTGATTATGTTGTCAATGCTTGTATTCGATTCAAATAAAATCTATGCATGTTTGATTGAGTGAAAGTCAGAATGAGCGGCGAAATGTAAGAAAGTGATAGACTAATCAAATAAGTGGATATGATGCCCTCGCTCAAGATCATATGATCACATCATTTTGAGTTCGCCGGTGCCTTTAATCTACTTAGTCATGCGGCGATCGAATGATCCTTATTAGGGATTACAAGTTACCTCATCCAAGAAGAGTCAGAGGACCTTGTAAGCAATAGGTGTGAACCTAGTCTTAAGTTAACAAATAGGAATTATACTTCACTATCATATGAGGGAGAAATTCAAATTGGACTTATAGTATTGCGTGACGGTACAAGCCTAGGCTCTAAAGTTGATGGATCTCAAAGGAGGGTAGCTTACAACTTTGGTTATGCTGGATCAAGAATGCAGGATATCTTTTTCAATATGATAGAAAAGATAAGATGGATGTAGAAGACATGAACATCTCAATATGATTGATTATGATTGAGAATTGGTGCTTAACTTGATTGTGTGTGTTCGAACAAATCTGAATATCTCCTCTATATGGTCGAGGAGATGTTGAAATGGAACAATTATTACATCCTCTGACCGGATGTAGAGCTACGTTCGGCCACCAATAACATGTTGCCACGTGCTCTTACTCTTTATCGCGCGGCCCGATGACTTGACCCGGAGCGGAACCCGGGAATGCTATGTTCGCGATTTTCTCAGTATTGCTTTGCAAAAATGAGATATACTCACAGACCAATTACGCAAAAGACAACTTACATTTTTGCACTTAGAAGAACTGGAGAGCCACGGAGAGAGCATCAGAATATTTCTGCGTTATAGCTCCCGGAGGTCCGGGAACCGGTCCCATATCTGAATGGTGAGCTTTCTTTCGAAGCCCAAGCACGATGGCCGTGACCACCAAAGCAGCGACGACAAGAACAATCAGCCACCCGGTACAGCCCTTCGTGTACTTACCCGCCCCCATTCTTCACAACCAAGTGCAGAACCTCCAATATTCAGACAAAACCAAAAATGGCACCAATTCAAGCTAAAAAAATGGCACCAATTCAAGCTCAAAAAAATGGTAATGAAGACGGAAAGGGGTTCCTATGTTCGGATCAGTCCCGCATTGGCGATAACAGTAGCTTCCGAGCTCAAAGAAGGCTTCGCCGGAGAAAAGACGAAGGGCCGGAGATCTGGATCTGTTCGCTCTCTTCTTTCCCTCTATCGCCGGCTCGACGCCAACTAATAGGAGAAACCCACGCCATTTGCCACCGACAGAGAGAACGACCGCGGCATTAATTCGGTTGGCTTAAATGGTTTTTTTTTTTTTTTTTTGGGTTTTTTTGTAAGAGTTAGGGCAGCATCGGCTTAAAATTTATTTAATTTATTTTAAAATTAATAAATATAAATTGTCATTTTTAAAATAAATTTTTTATGATTACTATATATATAATTTATATAAAATATAAATTTAAAATTAATTGATATAATTTTTCATATAAAATATTAACTTTTAAATTTTACAATTATGAGTATTAAACTATATTATCATGAGCATTTCAATGAGGAAAAAAATATATTAAAATATTAATAAAAAATAACTTTTAAATCTATTAAGTATACACATTATTCATTCATATATTATATTCAATTTAAAATAAATTTAAGGATTTTCAACTCTTTGTACGTTTGCCGTTTCATGTGTTGGCTTCCCATTCTTTGGTCAAATCGGATGATATTTGTCACATATTTTGCTATGTATCTCTCATCATTTTTAAGCTCCTTGCATATAACATATTGTGGTTAGTTATTGCCGAATGATATTTGTTGTGTGCCTCTTAATATTCTAATTTTATATGAAGATCCAATATACTATATATA